ATTCAGGTTTGCAGCAGAGATATTTCATGGGATACAGGAGGAAGTTACGGCTACAGCTTCAAGAAGCAATCAATTGAAGATTATAGAATCTCCAGTACCTCCACTGCACCGACAAGCCATATACATTTTGCATACACAGGAGGTTTTTGTCTTGTTGTCTCTTGTCAATCTTCTTATTGTCTTGACCCAAGATGTTTGATTCTTGTTAGGTTTCACATTTATTTAGTTTAATAAATAATGTCATCTACTAGTTCATTGTAGAACCAGTTCACATGCTTTTTCACTTACCCTGGAGTCCCTGGAAGAAGGCTAGTTTGGAATCTGGAATGATATATATTTTATGCGAAACTGTGGAATAGATAGAGATGAAATGTTGGTAGGTGAGTCCCACTGTATTAATATGAAATTTATTCTACGAGGATCAGTGTATGGTTTTTATCTTGTGAACCAATTGAGTTTTATGCTGCTTTTCAGGTCTGGAGTGGCATCCTCGTATCCCAAATGAGAAGAATCACTTAATTTATGACGACTTGCCTCTCATTATTATGGATCCCTATGAAGAATGCAGAGGGATCCTCCACGGTTGCACTTGTTTGATAAGTATGACTCGCTTTTTTTAGTCCTTTTAATCTGTAATATGTTAACTTGCAGGGTAAAACATCTACCTGTTACGTATGGTACCAATATGTGACACTGATTCTTTGCTTTATTTCCTCAGATTTGATATAAATGGTCCAGGATCTTGCTTGAAGCGATACTCCGATTCTACTTATTTCAGAAGAGCGTCAAGCAACTTGATTATAGGAAACAAGAAGTTCCAAAAAGATGAGAAGTATTATGTGGTTTTCAGATTAAGTTGGTAAACTTTTGTCTATAGGATTCTCTTTTACTTAGCAATTATATTTCTGTCTTTTGACATGGACAGAAGAAAAAATCTTCGTCAAGGAGTCGAGATATGGCACGTTTGGCGTCCATGGCTAACCAGAGTGCCAGGTAAAAAATAGATTATGTTGGCATATTAAAGTTCTGTGTGCTCGAAGAATACTTGAGCTTAGTTTCTTTTCAATGTATTCCATATGTAACTCAAAGATGGAATTTACTTCAGGAAGACATTTACTTCATTTAGCTTCAGTGGACAAACCTCTTCTTCTAAGAGTGTCTCAACTAGTGACATGGAAAAAAGATCTCATCTGCAAGATCATCATTCTCGTTCTTTTGATTCCAGAAGTTGTTCAGGCTACATCGAATGCCTTTCAACCGCAACCTCTTCATTGAAGGCTGGAGAAAAGCCGAAAGGGGTGTATGTTTCATCCAGCTTGACACCGGGCTCTTGCACCAATGCTTCTGTCCTTTCTGCATGTGAAACCGAAGATGCACATGATAATTCCCAGTTTAGTCCTCCGCAAGGGGAAGCTGCTCGTGGCTCTTCTTGCGTTAGTTGGGATGAGAAAGCGGAGATAGTGGAATCTGTTGGTCTGCAGACAGATGAAGCTTCTGAAATGATGGAGACGAACTCTGTCGCGAAATCAGAATCAGGATTGCAAGAATATTCTGGGATTGATGAGGTTAGAGAGATAAAAACTGCTTTGGAGATTGTGGGAGAACCGAGGGATAGTGAACGCGAGAGTGAACGCAAAGGGGATTGCTTTGTTGAATCGGAATCTGAAAATGAAAATGATCAAGGGCTCCAAAATGAAAGCGAAGGGGATTGCTTTTTCGATGCTCCATTCTAATACTATTGAATCGGAATCTGAAAATGATCAAGGGCTCCAAACTAGGCAAGAAGTGGTGAGCAGTTCCTGTGGTGTTACGGAGGAGAGGTTGGAAAAGTCAATGCGTGAGCAAAAAATAGAGCAGAATTCCAACAGTGTCGAAGATTCTTGTAGATCAATGGATAGGCTTATGGACAACAGTTTTGGAAATGACAGAGAAATCTTGCGGTTTAGTTGAAAGGTTGTCATCTGTAAATGCATCTTATGAAATGAATCATCAAGTGAGGTCAGATATACCCCTTTCACCATGCAATGATCTTTGTACAAGTAACATAGCCGGTGGAGAAGATAAGATCGCATTTACATTCGTTCCGGCTCCTGAAAATGGCTCATCTGATTCATCAAACCCCTTGTCTCATAGTGACCGGCAGGAGCATCGAAAATCAGAAGCTGAAAATTCTGGTGACATTGAGCCCATTAAAATATGGACTAATGGGGGTCTGTTGGGACTGAAACCATCGAAGCCTTCAGTTCTGGATTGCAAGACCGAGGAAAGGAAAATTGGTTCGGCTGAAACTGAAAAAGATAAATCAGATGATCTAGGAACCCAAAATGTTTCAAGCTTAGCAACTCCAGGAACCCAAAATCTGGCAACGATTGTTGTTGACCACAGAGAGTGCCGTGAGACTTCTTCCGGAGTCTTTGGACTCATCCACAAGTTACTCACTAATGGCTTCCGCAGAAGAGATTCATTTCCCCATGAAAGACAGGCTGTACCAGCAACCATYCCWGAGAATGAWGAAATGACGACAGAGAAKAGCAKTTTWTKTGACCAAGACAWTACTGAGAAAAGCTTGATGGATCCCTTTAGAGATGAAGCTCCAATTGATTGGATTACATCGTCCCCGCCTCTTCGACACATGAAAATATCTCTCAATCCCGTTGACACCCTTCAGGCTTCCAGACTGAAGCTGAAATTTTCAGAAGGGGACAATAACTACAATATGTTTTCTTCTTTTCAGCTGCTTCCAGAGGCTGCTACTTCCCTTCCTGATTCTTATTCAGACGATGACACTTTCTGTAGATCCTCTCCTTACATGCCAGATACCGATTATCTTAGCGATAATCAGTCCTTGTCAAATTCTGATCAGTGGTAAGAATCCAGTGACAGCCATGGAAGAAAAGAGCAAGAGCTATATAATTCTTTCCATGAAAGTAGTCATGTCGGTAACAATGCTGAAGCTTCTTGTCTAGAGATTGAATCAGATAGTGGTTGTGTCGCTGTAAACCTCTCATACCTCCAGAATCCTGCTGAGCCTTTACCACCACCATTTCCATCCATACAATGGATGGTTTCAAAGACGCCCTCAGGTTCGCCTTTGAGAAGCATATTTCAGATTTGAGGACAAAAAGCAGTCCCCACAACTACACGACGCTCTCAGGTTCGCCTTTGAGAAGCATATTTCATTGTCTCCAGTCAACAAAGAACAGCCTAACGTAGTGACTTCTGCTCCTAAACAAGAAATTAAGGTACAGAGAAGCTTTCTACTCTTTTTCTACGTTGGTACTATGTGGGTCAGTTCAATATTACTGGAATTTTAAGAAGCATATGTTCTCATAGGGCCATCTGAAGAATAATGTCAGGGAGGACAAACAAAGCGCCAACGAAAAGGAGACTGAAGCTGGAGACTTCTTGCAACAAATCCGAACACAAGTGAGTGCAAATGATTCTTTTTCTGAGAAAAGTGATTTTCAGATTCTTGATGTGTTTATTTCATCCTTTTGTTACATTCATGATTTCTTACAAATCGTAAGCAGCAATTCAACCTGAGGCCTGTTGTTATGACAACGACATCATCTGCTGCTGCAACAACTGACCCTAGAATAAACACTAAGATCAGCGCGATTTTGGAGAAAGCAAACTCGATACGACAGGTTCATCCTCTAAATATCTAAAGCAAATCTGATCTTTGTTTGAGAATCTAAGTACTCTTTTTCCTAATGCCAACACACATTATCATCCACCACTAACCTTCTCTCTCTTCTCCTTTTCAGGCTGTAGCTAGCAACGATGGAGATGAAAGCGATACATGGAGCGATACATAAAAAGCCCTTTTGATCAAAGATTCTATTCTTCTCTATAATCTACCGGCACAGAGAAATCAGCTAGGGAAATGGTTTAAGCTAGTTCCTCGAGCATTTTTTTTTTC